CAGCCAGCCTTGGCCCATCAGCACATTCTGTCTCCAGCCTCTGAGATTGGTGCAGGGACAGTTTGTGACCTGACGTGAGGCCATGAGACCTGAGACATTTGCTGCCAGCTCCTGAGAAAGAAGCTTCACCGCTTCCAGAACAAACCCTCTCTCCTGTCAGACCCAAACAAGGACGCCATCGTGCTCCAACAAGGGTCTGAGAGTACATGGATAAGCGGACTGTTTCTCCCACTATACACTCACAGTGGGCTTCTTACACCAGATGTGTGTTTGGGGAGGCGTCCCCACATAGTAAGCAAGCAATCAATTATGCAGCGGACACTGTGTCCTCTAATTCAGTTCACTTCTGTCACTCCCTACCTGGAGATAGCGTCAAATTCCACAGGTTAAGGACTCAGTCCCCAAGACTGCTCCCCTTCTCCCAATGCCAATCCCAAGTCCCAGGGTATTTCACCTGTGCTTCTGACCAACCGACTATAACTGAGGTTCCCATGATCCCCTCATTGGTTGGATTAATTTGCTAGAGCAGCTCACAGAACTCAGGGAAACATGGTGACTCGCTTATTATAAAGGATACCACATAGGACACAGATGGGGCCATGCACAGAGCAAGGTATGGGGGAGCAGAGCGCTATCCTCCAGGAGCCCCATGTGTCCAGCTGTCCAGAAGCTCTCCAGACCCTGTCCTTCAGGGTTTTATGGAGGCTTCGTACACAGGCATGATTGATTAAGCCATCGGCCATTGGTGATCAAGGTAACTTCCAGTCCCTCTCCCCTCTAAGGGAGAATGGGAGTGGGGCTGAAAGTCCCAGTCCTCTAATCCTGCCTTGATCTTTCTGGAGCAGCCCCCATCCTCAAGCTACCTAGGGGCTGCCAGTCATCAGTCAACTCCTCAGCATACAAAAAGACACTTACCACTTTGGAGATTCCATAGATTTTAGGAGTTAAGTGCCAGGAAATGTGGAAAACAACTCCATATGTATTTTACGATATTACAAAGGGGATCCAGCCTCCAGATGAAACCAGCAAAATGGGAGGCAGAGTAGAGAGACAAGGATACTGGTCCAGGAGCTACTGATTCAAGCCTCACCTGAAATTCGCATCACCTCCAGACTTCTGAGCTATGTGAGTCGCTAATTCCCTCTTGGGTTTAAGCCAGTGAAGTTTCAGCTCTCTACTCCTTGAGACTGAAAGAGTCTTGACTAACTCCTGCGAGGCTGGATCCCTGAAAACAAAGGCTGTCATCATGATCAGGGTTCTTATCCTATCTCAGCTCCATTTCCCTCTGGGGTGGTTTTGCCTTTAGGCAGGCCCTGCTTTCCTCCTGACAAGATAACATCTAAAATACAAATTCAGTTTAGCAATCCCCAGGAAAGAAACTACGTCTTTTATACCAGTCAGGTATCTGCTGCAACGATGCCGTGTAACAAGCACTCTGAAAATCTCAGTTGCCTGTAACAACCATTCCTTTCATACTCATGGGTCTGCAAGTTAGTTGGGGGTTGTTAATATCAGAGTTAGGCTGGACTCCAGTCCCTGGTTGGGTCCAATTTGCCCCACAGTCTCCATCCTGGACTCCAGATGAAGGTACCATGGTCGCCTGGGTGTACCTTCCTTCCTCATGGTGGGCAGGAGCCCTGGAGGGACAAGGGGAAACACAAGATACTTCTTTAAGGCCTAGCTTGGAACCCACACATCATCACTTCTACCCTGAGCTCACCAAGGATGGTGTGGGGAAGAATACTCACCCACAGTGAACCACGGCAGGGGAGGGAGGGAAGGAAGAAGCCTCAACAAAAGTCCATCGAAAACATCTTCCTCAATAGTGCCTCAAAGATCTTGGAACTGACTCATTGGCCTGGCCTGGGGTCAATGCCTGAGGGAGGTAGGAGTAGGGGTACGGCTGGGGGTCTCCCATATGGGAAGAAGGGTTATTTCCCAAATGGAAGTCAAGGTGTTGCTGCCACAAGAAAGGACAATGGATCCCACATAGGCAATAAATAAATAATTATATAAACCAGCACTCAGCAAAGGGCAATGTGCAAATAAGTCACCTGAGATACTATTACAATGCAGATTCTGGGAGCCAGGCATGGTGGCTCTGACTGTAGTCCCAGCTACTAGGGAGGCTGAGGCTGGAGGATCTCTCAAGCCCAGGAGTTCGAGGGTGCAGCAAGCCACGATCACACCACTGCACTCCAGCCTCGATGACAAAGCGAAACCTCATCTCTTTAAAAAAAAAAAAATTTCATTTAATAAAAAATAATGCAGCTTCTCATTCAGTAGGTCCAGGGTGGGGCCTGAGATGCTGCATTTCTTTTTTTTTTTTTTTTGAGACAGAGTCTCACTCTGTCACACAGGCTGGAGTGCAGTGGTGTGATCTCAGCTCACTGCAACCTCCACCTCCTGGGTTCAAGCAATTCTCCTGCCTAAGCCTCCTGAGTAGCTGGGATTACAGGCACACGCCACCACAGCCAGCTAATTTTTAGAGACGGGGTTTCACCATGTTGGTCAGGCTGGTCTCGAACTCCTGACCTCATGATCTGCCCTCCTTGGCCTCCCAAAGTGCTGGGATTACAGGCGTGAGCCACCGAGCCCGGCTGAGATGCTGCATTTCTAAACAGTCCCAGATGATGCTACCAAGGACCAGTGGCAATGAGCAAGACTGAAATTGGAAGAGTCTCTCAGCCTTCCGATACCACATTCTCATTTATGAAATGATAATTCCACCTGCCACTCACGCTTTTCTCGGCCAGGAAGATGATGCCCTCGGGGGGATAAGGTGATGCGACATTTGTGCTGTCACTCACCTCCTGCCTGCCCCTGCACCTCTAAGCCTCCCTCAGCCCCCAGGAAAGGATTCACAGCCCAGCCAGCGGGGAGACAGGAGGAAGATATCACAAAGTGAGTGTGACTTCTGTTAACTGCCTTAAACTGCTCCCTGGAATAATGTTGGTGTAATCCATAAGATTCAATTATGGTTATCAGACAATTAGGCACGCCACAGCGAGGTTATTGCATAATTAATGCTCAGCCCCCATCTCAGCCTCTGAGAGTGGCACAGGTGACAAGATTCACCTGCCCCACATCTGGGAGAGGAGCTGGGGCACCCAGGATGGGGAATGACCTCCCCTTGGGCTCAGAGGAGGATGTTCTAGGGTCCCAGAGGCGTGGCAAAGGGACAGTGTGTGGCTGAAAGAGCTTGAGTTAGTGTGTGCCCGGGGCCCTCACGCCTGCCATTGTGTTGAGGCCTTGGGCTTTAGACTCTGGAGCGAGGTTCAAATCCTGCCTCAGCTACTGATTGGCTACATGGCATTAAGCACTCGCCTGACATTTTTAAAGCCTCCATCTCCTTGTCTTTTAAAGAAGGGAATTGATGATGTTATGAAAACTGGATGAGAGAGTTTGCATATTGGTTAGATGGGTCCTGCAGTACTATTTTCATTATTTCCTTGTCTGAGCCTCAGTGTCTTCATCTGTAAAATGGGAATAATTAGCCTCACCTTGCCTGGGCTTGAAAGATCAGCCAGTAGTTCGAGACCTGCCTGGGCAATTAGCAAGACCCTGTTCTCCACACAAAGGGAAAAAAAAGACAAAAGATCAGCCTGTAAGTCAAGTAAGACACATATGTGAATGGGATGTGTGGAGTGCTTGGCCAACACTCCATTGTCTTAGTTACTGTGTACCTGCCTTTCTGCTCAACCCTCCAGGGTACGACTTTGTACAAGTCCCCAGGTCTCAACAGGACAGTGGGTGATCAGCCCACTTGAGAAGTGAAACTCATGATTTGGGTGAGTAGACTAGAGGAGAATCAATCTTTCTTTCTTTCTTTCTTTCTCTCTTTCTCTCTTTCTCTCTCTTTTTTTGAGACGGAGTCTCGCCGTGTCACCCAGGCTGGAGTGCAGTGGCAGAATCTCGGCTCACCACAACCTCTGCCTCCCAGGTTCCAGTGATTCTCCTGCCTCAGCCTCCCGAGTAACTGGGATTATAGGCACCCACCACCGCGCCTGGCTAATTTGTTATTATTAGTAGAGGTGGGATTTCACCATGTTAGCCAGGCTGGTTTGAACTCTTGACCTCAGGCGATCTGCCTGCCTCAGCCTCCCAAAGTGCTGGGATTACAGGCATGAGCCACCACGCCCAGCCTGAGAATCATATATTGTGCTATGATCTGCAACATTCAAATGAGCCTCAATGGACACGAAACAGAAAAATCATCGAAAAATGTTGGTGAAAACTTCAGGTTGGAGAACTCAGGCGATGGTGCAGACAGAAGCAAGTGGGGGAGGAAGCTGGCTTCAGGGAGAGCGATCAGGCCTTTGTGAGAAAGACTGGTGACTCCTCGTATCATCTTCTGTGTCCCAGTTCCCAAAACACACACGCACATGGGCACATGCACGCAGGCACACAAAAACAAGCACACACAACAGATGAAAAAATAGTTGCAGGTTCACACACATGGACATGGACATGTGTGTGCCTGTGCCCATATAAACAAACAGGAGTGCACACACACACACACACACACACACACACACACAGAGGTACAGGTGGTATGTGCCCACACACAACCATACACACCGATATGCACAGAGGTACATTCACACACAGACCATCACACACAGGCACACAGATGCACGCACGCATGCACGTTCGCGCGCGCGCGCGCGCACACACACACACACACGTGCACCCACGCTCAGTGATACCTTCCAATCCACTAGCCTCTCGGATATAGGCACAGACCATTTTCACACGACCTTTCCCCGCTGAGCGTGTGATTCCAAAATTGTCCACAAGAAGGTGCTCGGGAGCCAGAATTCAGGCGTTCCCGGCTCGCGGACGCTTAGCGAGTGGAGCTTCGGAGTTGTGGGGGGACCCACCCTTCCATTTAATAACTGAGAAAGCCACGGGAGGGGACTTGCTGGGCTCACAGCCAGTGATCCCTGCCCTGTTTCCTTATGGGGAATACGGTCAGAAATGGGGAGTGGGGCAGAACCTGTGACGGTCACGGTCCTGTTTAGAGAGGAAGGTCGGAGAAACCAGTGCGGTGGAAGGCTCTCGGGCGTCGTCAGGCGCTGTCCCCAGCTCACGGGCTCTGTGACCCTGGGTAAGTTACCTGGCTTCTCTGTTCCTCAGTTTTCTCGTCTTCCCTGACCCAGGCTTCCCCGACTCCTCTAGGGGCCCCTTCCCTTCTCCATGAACACCTTCAGATCTCGGACTGTTTTCCCCACCCAAGCGGCATCTCAGCTGTCCCCTCCTGGGTGAGGCCTCCCCGGCCCCTATTTGACGGTGTCCCCACCCCCATCACTATCTTGTTTGTACCAACACTTGCTGCCTGACAAGGCACACTTGTTCATTTGTTCATGTTTATTTTGTCTCCTTCAGGAGAATGGGAACTTCGTGAGAGCAGGGACGTGGGGGTGTCCTGCGCACCCGGGCACCGCTGGCGCCCGGAACCCAGCCCTCCCTCCCGGCTCCGAGAGAGGCGGCCTCAGCCGTGTGCTGGTGCTGCCCTCCAGTGGCGCTGGGTCCCCATGGCACCCGGCTTTCTCCTGCTCCCCAGGGGCCTTTTCTTCTCCCACCCACCTGTCACCAGCCCCCAGGGCAAGCCTCTGTGTGACTCTAGGGTGAAGGTGGAGGGACCTTGCCTCCAAGGACTCATCCCACCTGGATTCCGATGAGTGAGAAACCCTCTCTGGCACCTGGTGTTTGAATGGCCAGCCTCACAGTTAATAAAGACGAGTTTGGTATCAGCTGTGGGATCCATCCAGGAAAAGACACCTTTGGGGCAGAAATACAATGGTGCCTGTCTCGACATAGTCTAGCAGGGAAAGAAAGACAAGCCGGTCCAAAGGTCCCATTTTACAGATGAGGTCACTGCATCCCCACCTAGGACAGGAGGGTACAACTGCCTGGCCTAAGATAACCCTAGAATAGGGTCACTCATTCTTCCACCCACTGAGAACCTCAGGGCAGTCGCGTTTTATGCAAAGCCTGTAGTCCTGAACACCTTGCATAATTCAAAGCGTGCATAATTCCTGACTAATTTTGCCAGAGAAATGAATGCAAAGTAGAAAGAATGTGTTGCATAAATTACCCCAATTGTGGCATATTTTTGCTTTAATGCTGCTTTTTATTTTCCCGGCATTATCGCTAATATTTCATAACGCACTCTCTGCTAAATTAACAGTGCAGCATTTCCTGCCGGTGGCTTGGCCTTCTTCGGAACGTTTTATCACATCGCATTTCCTTTCCAATGTTACCGATTTTCAGGTGCGTTTTTCTGCACCACCACTTAAAGAACACTTGGCTGACATTGTTATAGGATACGGGTAAAAGATTTAAAGTTATAATAACTGTGAATGTTGAGAAAACGCACACTAGTCACCAGAATCTCCTGCAGAAATTAGAAATTCAGAGGCATGTAAACAACAGTGCATGCATATAGAAAGCAGGTATTTCTGTTTAATAACCAAAGCAACGTCGCCATGTGGCAGGTTTACAGTCCTCAGTTAACAGCTCACTTAGTTCCTCCGACTCGAGGAAACTGCAATTCTTGACAGTTTTTTTGGCTTGTTTTTTTTTTTTAACTGAGGGGCTCGGCATTATTTCCAGCTTAGTGCATAAACACGTATTAGCATTTTTATGTCGCACCTTGCCAAAGTCACAGTTTAGATTCCCATAAACGGTGACTTCGCCCTAAATGGTCTCCCTTGCTGTGTCCTTAATCCCAGAAGGGTGGAAATGTATGACTCCACCCAGTGATCTCAGATACGGATTTCAGAAGTTTCAGTCACCCACCTCATACTTACACAGGGACCTTTTTGGAGGCAGCACCATCCGAGGCCGCTCTTGCCCAATTTGACTGCCCCCACCTCCTCCCCAGCGTCGTCTTCTCTTGCAGTCTAGAAAGGGGGGCTACCCCCCCAACATGGGATCCATATTTAGATCCATGTTGGAGGGTGGGTAGAAAGGGGAGATAGGATGAGGGAAAACTGAGTCTTAGTTTCACACATTTGTAAGATCGTCAGACTTTCCACGTTGCCAAGAAACTTGTCAACACAACCCCTGTGAATTGGCTGCTTGGCCTTCGCCTGCCCAGATTTGCTTCCAGAATGGCTCCTTCAGTTTGGCATGAGCCTGGCACCAGAAAGAGTGCCAGGGGCCCTAGGAAGGGGGAAAAGTGGGGCATTCAGGGCAGGCTCTGAACCCACTGGGATTCCTGTCCTGATTCCATCTGCATGTGACCTTCAGCAAGTCTCTATGTGAGGCACTTCACCTCACTGGGCCTCAGTTTCCACCTCTGTCGAATGGGGATAATAATACTATCTACTTCCCAGAATTGGTGCCAGAATGAAAAGCAGTCCCTGCTGTGATAGTGCCTAGAACAGAGTAAGCGCACAATAAATGTTACTTAGCTCTTGTTGCAGTTAGAAAAGCAACTGGATGGGGTGTACATTTACTGGAACCCTGGGATATATGAGGGCCAGTGTCTGGGTGAGGTGATCCTGCCCCTCAGAGAATTTATGGTCCAACTTTGGAGAGTGAACCTGCCCTCCCACTAATTCAATAATGCACCAGAAAGAGGAACTGCCTGGGGAACTGCCCTGTCCAGCCCTGACTTTGTGCAAGTGTCCATGAAGTCACCTTCTGCCTCTGGGCTGCCTCTGAGACTTGAGAGGGAGTAAGCAGGTGCCAAGAGGTCTCTCCACCCTCCAGGTGCCCCATCAGGCTGGGACCTCCCCACCAACCCACCCCTCCCTGTGCAGCAGCAAATCTGCAAATGTGCCTTGCAAGCATATCCAGCGGGCCAGAAGCCACACTCATCCCCCGCTCCCCCGCCCCTTCAGAGGACAGGAGAGGTGCCTGGTCCGAAGGTGGTGGTTAGAGCCTGGGCTTCCTGCCTGGGGGTGGGGTGGAGAGGGATCTGCCTTCTCTTCTGGGCCCCTGCCCCCCAGGTTTTTCCTCCTCCGTACTCATGTTCCTTTCCCTGGATAATCCCTTGCTCTATGAGAGTCTCAGCTTTCCCCTCTGAAAAATGGGCAGCCTGGATTTCCCCAGCTCCTCCAGCTAAGACACTCTCATCTCCCTATCTCACACCAGCCTTGCCGCCCACACCCCGGTCCCTCCCTCTCTCCTCTGCTGCTGTGGGGGTCTGTCCCTGAGGTCACTGAGGCTACTGCTGGCTAGGCTCCTAAGCACGAGAGAGGGATCCCACAGAACAATAGCAGAAGGAAGGGGGGCATTCTTCAGGAGGAGAGAATGAAATAGCCTAGCTCAGCCATACCTGCCCTAGATCCAAAGCTCCCAGCTCCATTCCTGCCTCTTCTGCCATGTTTCCATCTTTCTGCATATGCGTGTCTCCCACCACACGAGGTGGTCCTGAGGGCAGGAGACACCCAGCCTGTCCTCGCTGTATCCCCAGCACCTGGGTGCTGGGAGCTGTTTCCTGGTTGGACAGAATGGGCGCCCACCCAGCAGGTTCAAGGATGGCGTTTTCCAGGTCTGTAGCCTGAATTCCAAGTGTCCACTCAGGGCTGAACCATGCAGTCAGGAAAGGATTCTCACTGGACACAGTGGCTCAAGCCTGTAATCCCAGCACTTTGAGAGGCCAAGGCAGGTGGATCCCTTGAGGCCAGGAGTTCAAGACCAGCCTGACCAACATGGCAAAACCCCCTCTCTACTAAAAATACAAAAATTAGCTGGGCGCGGTGGCAGTCCCAGCTACTCGGGAGGCTGAGGCAGGAGAATCGCTTGAATCGGGGAGGTGTAGGTTGCAGTGACCCGAGATTGCGCCACTGTACTCCAGCCTGAGTGACAGAGCAAGACTGTCTCTCAAAAAACAAAGCAAAAAGAAAGGGCTCTCATAGTGAATAACCTAAGTCTACAAAAATAAAAGAAAGGACTCCACCTCGGACCCACGCTTCCCTCCCCTCTCTGTCTCCCTTTATCCTCTCCCCCAAGCCCCTCTTCCGCTTGCCTCCAGCCTCCCACCTGCAGACTCAGTCATTTCTGGCTCTTTCTGACTCTGCTTTAGAATGAGAAAAAAAAATATGGGGAAACAGTGGCTTTTGATCATAAGGACAGGGAAAAGGAGATGGGGTCCTTATTGTGGCCTGGCTTCCGGCGAGATGTCTAAAACTCACATAGAATCGTCCCCTAGGGGAAATCACCCACCTGCATAATTTTCATATCCAATAATACTACAAGAGTGTCTATGTCCTTCCTACCTTGAGTTACATTTCTAAAAACTCTTCATCACGTGAGTCGTGAAAAATGCCAGCTTCCAATTAAGTGTGCATGGGGAGAGGACAGATAGCTGGAAGTAGAAATTTATGCTGCCTGGTAATACTAAAGAATTGCTATACTCAGTTTCATCAAACCCAGGTCCTAGTGTCAGCCCGAAATTCTTCCTCCTCCAGGAAGCCCTTCTGGACTTGGAGGGAAAGTCTATGACACAAGAAACAGTGTCTAATGTTTCCCAGATCCACCTGTTTTTCTCCTGTACTGCGCCCACCACCTGGACAGCCCTTTCTCCATAGGTGTCCAAATGCCCCGAGTCTGTCAATGCCAGGCTTGCATGCCATTATTTCCCAGATGAAAGTGACTACTCTCCTGTCAGGACTCAAGCACTTCCTACCCTGGCCTGTGATCACAGGTGCTAGGAGAATTGCTCACCAGTGGGACAGAGGGCACATAGCAAGTCCCAGCCCTGACTTTGCCCAAATAGCTCTCAAGTCACTCTCAGCCTCTGGATCTCCTCCCTGTGGGGTGGATGTGAGCTTAGAGGCCATTTAGGCTAACTCCTCCCCAGCCTGGGTGCCATGTCCCCAGATCCCTAACTTATTCATGGATGCAGAGGAATCAGTATGTTTGTTGTGTGACTAAATGAATAAATTCAGAACTTGGGGACACCAAGATCTAACGCCCCCTCAAAGTTAAGCCTCTTAACCTCCTTAACCCTACAACTATCCTTCCTTTTCCTTATACCAGTCCAGTGACCAAATCACCTTCTAAACCACCAGCCGGCCAGCCATACCCCCAATATGACCTAAGTAAAATGATCCAAAAGGTTGACAATACGTCTAGTCACTGGGGTTTTTTAAAATTGTAATTAGTAATTATTATGCACTATGGATGTAATAATAATAGCAGCAAACATTTATTTTATTTTATTTTTATTTTATTTTTTGAGACAGAGTCTCACTCTGCTGCCCAGGCTGGAGTGCAGTGGCCTGCCTGGTACTGGGCTGAAGGCTTTGACGTGAACGACTTCATTTAATCCTCACAATAATCCATAAGGGGGTTCCATCATTAGCCCCTACCTTTCAGACCTAGAAATGGGGCGTAAAGAGGTTAAACTTGCCCCACGTAGCAAGCTGGTAACAGAATTTGGGGACTTTATAAAATCATTTTTTATCCATTGTGTTACAATATTTTTCCATTTTTGTAGTCCTCTTTCAGACTTTGACATTTTTTTAAATTTCATGTCCTAATCTATTTTCAGTTCATTATGCCTGCCCTGTTTGTTTGGCAATGTTTCTGTGAACTGTCAATCTTGTCTTCCTCTCTAAGAGACTAGAAATATTCGTGGAATTTGTGAAAACATAGCCAAACAGGTAAAGTGGACATGGATGACTGAAAATGAATTTTTTTTAATGAAACAACCTAGAAAGAAGACAAAATTGCTTTCAAAATGCATGCAAAAATTGCAAAATCTCCCCGGGGTGCAACGACCTTATCAAGACAGGAA